TACAGCTTACAACAGTACACTGAAATATGTTTCTGAAAATATTTGAGGTGAGAAAAGGACAATCCAGTAACAGAATTGTGATTCATATTTGATCAATACTGCAACTTAACAGTTTGACTGCAGTTCACAAACAGTGATTGATTTTATTGACAGCTACATTTGAATGCAGTTATGTTATTAGAGGCAAGTCCAGAGGGCAGAGGAATATGATTTTTTTTTTTCACAAATCACGGGCCTCATGTACTTCTGTGTGGATATAGACAGTTTAAACAAACATGAAAAAAGCAAAGTATTAAAGTAAAATTATTAGAATAATTTTTTGTCAGACCTGTAAACTATAGATATTCCACAACTGTATATGTGCCCAGTGTATCCGAATGTAACATTTTTAGTTCTTAACTTTCAAGTTCTTGGAGCAGTGTTGTCATACATGGATGATGCATGCACAGCACCCAAATCCCAGCCTAACAAACCTCTGCTGGCTTTATAGTGAATATGTCTCTGTGTATTGCCTGAGTGTATTTCTTTCTCTTACTTACAGCTTTTGCTGCTTATCCCCTCCCCCCACACACTAACACCCTACATTATTCCGCTCTTCATATACAGCAAACAGCACCATCTCTCTCCCTCTCCCTCTCTCACACACTGTCTCACACACACATACCAAAATATCTTGAATTGGCATTGCCTTTGTGCCTTTTGTTTTTTGAGACCCTCAAGGCCTCTCTCTTTTTGCCAAAGAGAAAAATAGAGGCAGAGAAAGAGCAATTGAGATGAGAGAAAAAATTCTATCCCACCCTCCTCCTCGTCTCTGCACAGCTCCTCTACCAACCACACTTTGTTTGATTCAAAGAATGCTGAGAGGCTTGGGCAGCAGATGTGAGATTTCGTGGAAAATAACGAGTAATGAATCTCTTCAACACTCATCTAGTCACATATATGCTGCTTTCGCCTGCCTGTGGCTGATGGATCCATTTGTCAAAGCAATGCTTCCTATTCTCCGTCTCGTGTCTGCACTTAAAAAGAACATTCGGAAAACATCTATGCCTTACACTATTGTAATCCAGTATTGTCGACAATTAGCAGATGTTTGAATTTGTATCTTACAATTAGCTCTATTCATACATTCTCTGGCAAGCTACGAATTTAAGTGGAAATGGGAGATTATTTTGGTTTTTGTGTGATGATAATGATCGTCTTTGTGTTGAACAAATCAAAATCAAACATTTTTGATATCTCCATCTCAAGTATTCACTCAGTGTGAAACACATGTTTAGAAGATCATTATCGCCAAGGCACCAAAGCCCTGAAACGATGAACTGGATTCTGCAGCGGCAGAGGCAAGCCATAGTTTATTGAGATTATCTGCTCAGCAATACAACGCCAGAGGCAGAAACTCCCATTTCTGTGTCCACAGGAAACATGGAATGAAAGAGAGATCCATAAAACAATAAATATGTCTTATTACAGAAGGTCCTCATCCCAACGAAATCAGTCAGAATTTATGTAGGGATAAGCCAAGGGAACCGGCCCATTTGCATTTAAATGAACACTAATACAAAATGGAAAAGAGGTCACCAAACTCTATTTAAACAAAGCCTGTTAAGTGAAATCCCAAACGTAATAGTGTGGAACAAACAAACATATTTGTGACATCACATCTCATTTATCACACATATATAAATTATTTTTTATCATCATGTATGTATTATGGTTTCTGTATATTTAACTCAAAGTAGAACAAGGACATATAACTCAATGCAGCATATTTTATCTGAATCTATATTCATAACATCAATTATATCTTTACAAATGAAGATTTTGGGTCATATTAACAAACCGGATGCTTTGTCTTGTGCATAATGTGCATGTGTGCAAACACGTAAGTCTTGAAGCTTGAAAATCCAAACACAGCTTCAAGAGTCCAAACCAATCATGGTTCAAGGCAGCACACTCACAAAAGCAGCCAATCACAGGGGTACTTAAGTCTGCCAGCACAGCTGGCCCGTTTTCAGTCCTGATACTGACTGATATCACTGCTGCCTTTGGCATACTGAACAATCAGATTTTTCTCTCTGTGCTAGCATTAATGGATATCAGCATGGCATTGGTTTCAATCCTCCATCATCAGTGGCTTCTGACAAGTGATGTAGAAAGAAGCACACTGTGCGGCCTCACACACCGGTGTCCCAAAAGGTTCACTTGTGGGATCCCTCTTTTTCTCCCTGTACACAGAATCTCTTGGTGATGTAATTATGCCACATGGTGTTCCATCCATATGCACACTTTCTTCCCCTCTCCATCTCAAAGGTGGCTTCGCAGGTGTCTGCATGTCTGGGAGATGTGATGACTGGATGATGTCTCAACAATTTTAGCTCATTTAAGCCAAGACTGGAGCTCAAGCTTTCTATCCCAAGAGAGGGCTATTCTTCTAGGCAGAGTCCACATGGACATGGGTATTTCTGTAAACAGGATTTTTCCCTTCCTTCCCTCAAAAAAATTCCTGTCCACACATGCTGTTACAAAAAAATCTCGATCGGAATAAAAACATAAAAACCCAATCAAAGGGCTGTCAAAAGCATGTCAAACCCACACATACCTGTAAGCCTAAAGCCATGGAAAGAAGAATAAGAATAAGATGTTGGCCAATCACCAGCCTTATAAAAAAACTTGCAGTGGATGGCTGCCTGAAGTAGTGACCTCTGTACTGCAGTTTGAGGCCTCTGTTCCTCAATATAGTGGAAGAGTAACTATACATTCATGTGTAAACTGTTAGCAAGGTTAGAACCAGCACTATTTTGGTCGGGTCCACCATTACATGCAATGCTGCCTCATATGTGACGCCTCACAAAGCAGAAAATGGCACACACTCTGCCCTCAGAAGCCAAAAACTGTTTTCCCTGTTTAATGGCAACACTGAAAAGAGAGTTTCTGAAAAGCTTCACCATGGACAGAGTTTCACAAAAGGTTTTTTAGTGACCTTAAACGTGGTTTGCAAGAGGACGGAAGGCCAAAACAATTGGTAGAAGTTTTTTCTTATAAAAATAGCCGTGTTCTCTTGGACTAGGCCTTAATCTCTATATTTCAGAGGAGGAAGTCGTGGTCATCAAAGTGTACCTATGGATTGGATGGATTGATTGATTCTCCCTGTCTCCATGCCTAATTTGAATCAACCCATCCATCAAATTAGGCATGAAGCAGACTGGGAATAAACTCTTTCAATCCTGTGTGCACTATGAATTAATGATTTAGTGTCTGATGGGAATTCATGACTTCATGATTTTCCTTTACCTCATTTGGACAACCATCCTCGTCCCACTTTACCAGAGCGAGGACACGTGGCAGTCCACACTGAGCTGGGGGAGAGATTGTGGGGGATGCAGTGCCTGTAAACACTCCACACACTTACCTTTTATCACTCTGAAGGCACGGCCCCGATGTTATCTGTTGAGCCACCAGCTTGCAAACCAAAAATTACATTTAGTCCCTGAGCCAAAGAAAATGAGTTTGAGACACACAGAGACAAACATGTAGAGACAGAGAGAGTGATGGAGTACAGGGAACACTGGGAAGTAGTTTACAATTAAAGAAGACGGCATGTAGAGTAGAGAGAGACGATTATGAAATGAAGACGGGGAAGAGGGTGCGATGAAAAAAAAATGCTGGAGCATTAATGGATGTTGTGGAAGATGAGAGCGGCTGTCGGAATGAGAGTTGAAGAGAAGAAATGGGTGAAGAGTGCCTTCTGTCTTTTACTGTTGCCATGGACACCAAGAAAGCTGACTTACTGCTGTGTGAAGATCTTTTTTTGAATGGACAAAACACACACACACACACACACACACACACACACACACACTGCCATTGCCATCATCACCACCTTCACCTACTTGTCTCTCCACTCACAAAACTCCCACCTCCTTGATTGCTCATAGAAGGCAGGAGGACATGTATTTTACATAGATAGCACGCCAACCACATCCACACGCTCTTTTGTGTGGAGATAAAGTCTTTTAGGATCCCTGCTTGGCTCTCATTATTACAAGGTAGGGGAGCACAATACGCTATTTGTAAGACAGCAGAGCACCGAGATAAACGCACACAGGGCACTGCTCATTAGCAAAAGTCTTTATCTTTGATGGGAGATGACTGCTGGGCTTTTTGTTGGTGGAACAAGCCTGGAAATCACCAACAAGACACTCCAATTTATGTTTTTTCATCACATTTCTCTTTCTTTTCTGTTTTCCCTTTTAAAATGATCATAAAATGTGTGAGATCCTGAAGCTCTGGTTCAATAATAGAGGATATTTACATGAGAAAATGCTGTTACACTGCTCCTCCGTTGGCATCCTCTTTGAACTTTCCTTTAGTAACCATATTAATGATCACCATACATCTCCTTTACATCAAAGGCCCGTTTTATATCATACAAGAGATTATTCCTCCTTGGACATTATAGCATAGCCTACAGCATATGTCTCAGACTGCCTGGTTTCACTCGCGGTGCGGTGCGCACACTCAGGCTATTACTTTTTCCACTCGTGTGTAATGTTATGCACCCTGAAACTACACTGAGTCTATGGCGTAATTACTGGGCTTGTCAATCACTGAAATGAACTCAGTGAAGGTGAAATTGACTGCGTGCCTTCAGAAAGACTACTTACTGATTGGTTGAGTAAATGCAGAACAGGGATGACAGCGCAACAATGCGCACGCTTTGAAATATTGACATTGATTGTCCCATGAGAAATATACGGGGTTGTTGATTATAATGATGCCTTTAGCAATCCAGAAACGATTAGGAACGATAAAAAAATAAAGACAGGAAGATAAATACCCCCTCCCTCCCTCTCTCCTCTTTGTGTGCCTCTTCCTCTGTCTCTCTTTCTCTCTGCGTGCATGCGCCTGTTCCTAATTTCTAATTAGTTCAGGGTATGGCAAGACAAATCGTGGATGTCATTGCAGAAGCTGCGGTTGCCTTGGCAGGACCGCGACGTGAGGCTCACTTGGGAAAAAATCCCCTCTCTCTCAGCTGGGGAGTGACAGCAGTCCCACTGGTTTTAATGGTGCGGTGCCTTTAAGTTAATTTACGCACAACTTGCACATGCAACGATATATTTTTTAGTGATATCTCACTTTGTATCTTCATGAAAGACTGATTTCACAAAACAGAAAAAAATCATGTCATCCTCTGATTGGCCACGTGCAGGCACAACCTCAGCAGACTCGTGGTAGCGGAGAAGTGATCGGCTCCTGCTCCAGCCTACAGGTAGTGCCGCGCTCAGATGCAGCTGTTTCTCCACATAGTACACGCTGTTCAACTTTTTCCTGAGCTTGTAATCGCTTGAAGGCGTGAAGACACTGGATGACAGCGGACCTCCTGGTGCACAGAGTCCGGCACTGAGGCGCGCACACATTTCAGCACCCTGGACAGAGCGCGGCGCCGCAGTGGTGATGCGTGGATTCAACCGGTGGCTTTCAGCAGTGTGAGGGGACCGCTTCACTGAATGTTACATAAAAACTCTTTGTGTTCCACATGTGGGAGACGCTCCTCGCTCTCTGGATCACTTGGACTAGTGCGTTTTCCTTCTTATTTCCACACAGCGTCTCCGTCGACTCCATCGTGTGGGTAGGCGTGCCGTTTGGATGCGTGGTTGACTTCAGAAGCCGTGCTGAGCAGCGTGGAATAAGGTGACTGTCAGGCGGGCGGAGTGGTGTAGTGGTGTAGTGGTGGTGGTGGTGCCTATAAGAGACCCTCCATTTATAAGGATGCTGGTGGGAAATGCCTGGAGACAGAGATGACGAGATTTGTCAAAAGGCACTTGAACTCCTGTCAGACCTTTGTTCGAAGGGGGAAGTGCAGAACGAACACTGCCTGGATTTTATCTACTATTTCCGAGACCTTGCCAGGCCACGCTACACGGATTCAGGTGAGGCATCATTTGCACGCTTCATTCAGCGGTTTGCGTTTAATTGAACTGAGGTGGATGCGCATGCGACTTCTTCCACTGGCCATTCTGCGCCTATAAACTCAATAGGTGGTCCAAGCTGCTGGTCAGAGTGCTCTCACAACCAGCACCTTTTGCTTGGGAATTTGATCTGGCCCATTTTTCCTCACATTACTAATTATCCTATTTAATTATTTAATTTTATTCGGCGACAGCCTCTCCTCACTGGGAGCCAAATGCCACATCTAAAATGCCCAATTCCTCTTTCCAACCTCAGCCCACGTGAGGCTGACAGACTGAAAATCTGTTTTATGAGTCCAGTTCATTCCTGACACGTGCACAAATGCCGGCAGTGCCATCGTTAGTCACACAATGATATGCAACACCATGTACAGGCTTCTCTCCTCCCTGGATGAGTTGCGCTTGCACCTGCGCTCGCCGGTAGCTTTTACTATCTTGGCACACTTAACTGCATCTTACTTTGAAAGTTCACACTGATTTAATTCGTTTTACCTAAAGCATGCAGGCAATATGGCACATTACTGAACTTTAAATAGGCTGTAACTGCAGGACTGTTGCACAAAAGCACGTCGTTTTTGAAAACCAAAGCAGCCATTCAGTCACATCTGAGGAATTAACGTGACCACAGAGTCACGTTTCATCATCACCAACACCTAGGCCAGCCGTCTGCATCGGAATGGCATGCGTGTATGTTTGAGAGTGTCAGTGCGTGTGTGTGTGCAGAAGACTTGGAAAAAAAGTGAGATAATGTGAAGGAGCGAGAAGGCACAGTGACTGCAGTCCTCCACATATCTACTCTATTCATTACTGCTTCCATTAGTTTGCATTATCATTAATCACTCTTCACCACATGAAAGCCATTTGTGAATTCCCATTCCTTTCCCGTTTCTTCTGTCCCTCGCTGTATCCCTTATCGTCAGCCCTTTCCTCCTTATTTCCTCCTGATTTGCTCTATTCCCTAATCTCCCAGCTCTCGCCTCTCTCCCTCATTCATCACACAGGCCCATCCTGTCTCATCTTTGCCATTGCACTTACAGTTTGAAAAGTGGAATTGCCACAGTATGTGCTGTTGTGAAGTCAGCTATCAGGATGGCTGCCTGTACAGTTTCATTTCACTTCCAGCTGACATGTGTTACCCAGCATGATGGCAGCACACAACAGGAAGACAAAGGAAGTAGATGAGAAATCAAAACTGAAACAGCATTTGACCCAGAGATCAGGACGGGGTGAATGGGATTCAGTGTCTTTGTTAAGGGTGCTGTCTGTGGACATACAACGTGATGCTGACTTGGCAACTTGAGAAACCCATACTGGTAAAAGTTATTTATAATGGTGATGCATTTGTGACCATCTTGTCAGATTCGTCTGGAGATGAATCAAAATATCCTTCCCTTCTTCATGTGACCAGGTGTTACCGTATAAGCTTTAAAGGAATGGTTTGGACACTTTGGGAAATATGTTCATTAGCTCTCTAACTGAGAGTTAGATGAGAAGATCAATGACACACAGCATATCTATGTATTAAATATGGAAGTAGTGCTAGTAGCCAGTTAGCTTAGCTTAGCACAGAGAGTGGAAACAGCTAACGTGGCTCTGATCATTTTTTTGGCCAGACTTCCTGGTTGCCTAGCAACCTCACAGCAGCAAAAAGATTCCAGAAAGTCGCAGCTGTTGGCCAAATTTTAGGCTGCGGATATGTCATATCTGAGATACAGTGTTTAGTAGTTAAAAAAAAAAAATAAATAAAAATAGGCTACTACTGCTACTACTAATAATGATGATAGATAATGGTGACATGGTGGTGCAGTGGTCAGCATTGTCGCCTCTCAGCAAGAGGGTTCCTGGTTTGAACCCAGGGTGCAGGGTGGGGGAGCCCTTCTGTGCAGAGTTTGCATATTCTCAGTGTGGGTTTTCTCCGGACACTCCGGCCACTATGTGGAGGAAGTCTCTAAATTGGCCATAGTGTGAATGGTTGTCTGTCTCTATGTGTAAGCCCTGTGATAGTCTGGTGCCTCTCGCCCAATGTCATATGAGTGCTTCACATTAATATAGAAAAATGAACATAAAACAAGCCAACATGGCATTTCAAAATAAAAGGACAGTTTAAAACAGTTAAAAAAAAAAAAAAAGTGATTCAGTGACTGATGGTGATTTGAGATCATATTCAGTGAGCTCAGTGAGTATTTCACCTCGTGTACACAATTAATTTTGGCATTTTTGAGGCTGCTGACATCAGCAAAAATCAGAGCCTATAATTCCCACTGAACACGGGCTGCATATTGATTGACAGAAATACAGTAAGTGTCTTTCAGCTCACTCCAGAACATTTTCCCAAGAGTATACCTCACTCTGGGTATTGTCTGTGCCAGGTACAGCCATTAGCCACCTCAGAATCTAACGCCTAGATGTGGTGCTGTGGGTCAAATAGGACTCACCACAGTTTCTCCCCCTAAAATCCATCACCGACCAATCATGGCAAAACCATAAATCTTAAAATCATAAAACTGTGGCATTCACAGCAACATCCACTGGGAAATTTTGATTTTTCTGAAAGCTCAAATATCCCCAAATAAACATGGATGCCTCATGTCAGTCAAAGTCCATCGATCCTTCACTTTATTGCCATTGTGTATTTTTTCTTTCCTCACACAGCCAACTATGCAGTCATACAACCATCTTGAGTTATCTGGAAATGTAAATGCTCACAAGCCGAGCCAAGACATCAGTCAGCACATAACCCCTGTAAAACCATGACTTCCCATTTTTACAGTATTTTGACTTACACAAGTGAGATTTAATGTGTTCATTAATGAGCTTTAGAGGTGCTGATAGGCTGATTTTTTTTTTTTACAGTTTGACAGAGCCAAGTTAGATGTTTCCCCCTGTTTCTGGTCTTAAGCTAAGCCTCATTTTACTGCACAGACATGAGGGTGGTATGCATGGTTTCATCTAAGACTTGACTAAATGTGCACAACATTCAGTAATGGCTGTCAAAGCAGGATCCAGAGAACTACTGTTTTTAATTGTAGCCATCTAATTAGCTCGACACGGTCTATCAGGTCAATGTAACTAACACTCTGCAAAGCCAGAAAGCAGCAGTAGCCTGTGCCGTGAGGAAAAGCAATCAGAGTCACTCATGTGTAATATGTTGCGTACTGCCTATGTGTTGATACTATCTGTACTTCAAGGGGAAAATCATGCAATTTCCAGTTACTGTAAATACAGTTTTTACTTACGGAGATGTATATTTAAGGCAAATAACAACATCGCAGGAGGTAGATGTTCATATATTGCTTTTTCTGCACTTGCTCGCCTCCTACACCATTGCACCTTTGAAGGTCCTGTGCTCTAGCACTGGTCCACCCTCTTTGTTGTGATGCAGTCTCTGAACCCTTCCAGATGTCGATAGATTCTTCCCAGCCAGGCAGCACTCTGCAGGCGGCCTGCCAAGCCGACTGTGGGCTCAGTGTCCTCAGATGGCAAGTCCCTCAATTTCTCCACATAATTCTCCCAAATCACACGTACTCTGGTATTCACAGAATCTCAGAGCACAGAAAGGACAGTTTGTCTGAGTTCCTGTGCGAGGTCTTATGACAGCGCCCACACACAGAACCAGTCCTGTATTAGGCAGCGCTGTTGGAGTTGGAAGATAGGTAATGCTAAACTATTACTGCCAAAATCTTCTGAATTTTGTTTTGACTGAAAGCAAACAGTCTTTAAGGGAGGTCTGACATATTGTCTCATTTATCTTTAACTAATGCGCATGTTAATGACCTAACAAAACATCAAATCCAGCATTCCTCAGTACATGTGTCAAGTGTTAGCTCTAAATCAGATAGAGCTTGCCAAACGTTATTCAGTTCAAGATAATTCCTGGTTGCAAGATGTTCTGTGATTTTAGTTAGTCGTTTAAAAAACATGTGTTTTTCTCTTGGTGAGAAATTGTGTGCTTATGATTTCAGTCAAATGAAGCACCATCAAAGACTTCAAACAGAAATGCCACAAAAATTGCAGACAGTTCTGCAAGTGCACGGAGATGGGATGTTTCAGAAAATGTGTAAATACCAAACAACTTAATTCCACACAACAAACTCTTTCAGTTGAAAACATAGATGCATATCTTGGTATTCATGAGTGTCTGTTGATGTAGAGTGCAATAAAAAGAAACAAAGATGAGTGGATTTAATGTGATGACTGTAGGAAGTTGTTCACTTAACAAATTCATCATACTGCAGCGAGGGCATTGCAACAGCTCCACAACACATAGGCCTGATTGTAATATTGTCTTCATATACCGTAAAACTTCTATTAGTAGCTCAGGCTATTTGCTCAAATCACTGAACTCAACAGGCCTATATTTGGGATACAGTTTTTTTTTTTTTTACACAAAACTGTTGCTCAGCAAAGATGGGAAATACAATCAAATTGTTTGTTTGAACCAGTATGAATATAAGTTGTTTAAAAATATAGCTTTGAATAACATATCAATTATATGTTATGTTATGACACTTGTTTTACGGCACCTGGGATACTGACACAACACCACTTTATCCTGTTAAAACAATATTGATAACTTGAATTAATTTTTTATAAAAGACACTTTTGATCCTTTTGTTCAGTGGACCCTTACGGACAAAAGAAATATAAATAACTTACCAAGTAATCAAGGAATGGATACATAATCTGACTTCATGACAGCTTCAGAGGAATGGAGTCACCACTTGTTTTTTCGTCATGCTGGTAAATCTGAATGAATTACAGTCTTCTCTAGTGCTCAGGGTTTCAGTAAAATGAAATGAACCGAGCTAAGGATATGTAGCATCTCCGTACTGACAAAGGTTTAAACATTTATTTGCTATCAAACGTTAGCTCACGCGGGTAGCGAACAATCCAGTTTTATACATCCAAAGAACTTCTATAAAAATGAACTGCTTGGCAACCAGACCAGGCCTCTAACTGAG